CTCTCAATCTGACAGTGAGATGTCAGTGACTATGTTGACCACAGGAAAATTGTCTGGATCTTACAGGGAACAGTAAGAGAGGTCAGGTTCCTACAATATCACATATCATATTAGTGATAATGTGTTCTTTGAGTATCAAATCCCAACATAAATCCCTACTGGACTCTAGATGCAAGAAATTAGATGAGCAGATACTTAAAAAAGGCCTTCATGAAATTATATCACCCTTGCCACCCCTCTTATAATTCAAATGGTCCTCTCTTTCCTTTTTTAACTTTCATTTTTATTAGTGTCTGTTCAGGATACATAATAATTACATTCATCATTGAGAGTTGGTACATGTACATAACTCTTCCTAAGTCTTTTTAGGACCCTTTCATTTCCCCTCCTCCTCTTCCTTCCTTAAGCTAGAGTGGGTGGAGATAAAAGTACCACTGAAGCCTTGTTGGGTGATTAGCACTAATTTCCCTGAGACTGGGGCAGAGGTGCCAACCAGGACCTTGGAGAGCTCCATTTCTTTCAAACAACAGGTCCTCACTGTGTGTTCTGCCCACCCTCTCAGAAACACAGAATGGTCAATTCTGCCACCACGTCTTCAGTGTGCTGCATGACAACGTTTGAAAGACAAGGTTTCTCGACACTGGAGACATCAGTCAGGCATCTTTAAGGGCAGAGAGCCAAGACAGAGAAGACTTCAATCTCAGAAGCAAAAGGAAGTGAAAGTTTCTAAAACTTGTGGCTTATCAAACGTGAGAGGATACAATAATGAATTAAGATGAAAACAGTGGACTCTAGGACTTAAAGATACTTTCTACCTCTGACATCCAGTTAGCTTTTGGTTCATATTGGCATATTGTTTTATATCAAATTAATCTTCTTGCCCAAAGTAAGTATGAAACTTGTAGAGTCCCAGTAATGGGTACATTATTGTGGGTTAAGGTGAATCTGACAGGCCAAATTGGTCAGAAATCCTAGAAGCAATGACCTCAGAAGTAGACTGTGATCCTCTTCTGCAACCTCTGGAAGGCATCTTTGATTTCCTTGTTCCTAAGGCTGTAAATCAGGGGATTCAACATGGGGATTACCATCGTGTAGAAGACCGATGCAAATCTGTCAAAGCTGGAGGAGCCACCAGAGCTGGAGCTCAAATAGACAAAGATACTGGAAGTGTAGAAGAGGGAGACAGCTGTCAGGTGAGAAACACAGGTATTGAATGCTTTGGACCTGCCTGTATCTGACGTGACCTTTGTGATGGACGTGACAATATAGCCATAGGAGACCATGATAACCAGGGCATTTGCTATTCCAAAGATCACTGTTAGTATAGCGGTCAGGACTTGGACAGAGAACGTGTCAGTGCAGGACAGAGTTAGCAGCTGGGGCATGTCACAGAAGAAGTGCCTGATGACATTAGGACCACAGAAATGGAGCTGAAGCAAAGCACATATCTGAGATGAAGAACCTGTGAGTCCAGCCATGTAGGACCCCAGCACCATCCGAACACAGAGGGTGGGTGACATGATTGAGGAATAGAGCAGTGGGTTGCAAACGGCAGCATACCGGTCATAAGCCATGGCTGTCATGAGACAAGATTCACTCAGCCCCATGGTAGAAAAGATAAAATACTGAACAACGCAACCTACGAAGGTGATAGTTTGCTGCTCCTGGAAGAAGTTGGAGAGCATCTTGGGGACCGTGGAGCTGACGTAGCAGAGATCTATGAAGGACAGGTTGCTGAGGAAGAAGTACATGGGTGTGTGCAGGTGGGAGTCCATCCTTATCAAAACAAGGAGGGACAGGTTCCAGGTCAGACATGTAATGTAGATGAGCAGGAATATAACAAAGAGCACTGCTGTGATTCTGGGAAAATCTGAGAATCCCAGTAGGACGAATTGGGTGATCTCTGTAATATTCCTTTCTATAATCATTGCCTCAGTGCTCCTAATATCAGGAAAAAAAGTGAGGACACTGTTGACTCAGGTGAAATTGTATCATTACCAGTTTTTATATATCCAACTTTTCCCCCAGTGACTACTGGAAAGAAAGAAACATGTCTCTGTCCTTCTGTGGAAAGACCCTACTTTTCAAATTTTCAAGAACTCACCTCGTGCTGCAGGTTGTCAACTCATTCAAGAAGTCTGTGAGAATTATGAACTAAGTTGACTGGTGAATTTAAAATACCTTAGAAATGCTAAGGTTATCAAATTGAAGTAGATAATATTGATTGAACCAAAACATTTCTCAGAAGACTTCTGATAATTCATTATATAACTTGTTTTGCAATCATGAATACACAGGTGACTTCTTTCAAAAATTAATTTGAAATAGTTTCTGTTCTGGCTTGTTCATAGTAGTTACTATTTTCTTCTTTTGTACTAAAGAAAATTACTTACATGGTTAATATTTTATGAAACTTTCAGGAGATGTATTTCATACAACTTCTGCAAATTAGCCTGGAACATAATTTGTAATTCTGACCTATATTGTTGGTCAAAAAATGTATATCCCTGAAGTTATGGAAAAAGTGTCCCTAGGGAAGCCTTCATCTAAAGAATGTACAGCTTCTGGAACAGAGGTTAGGTAGAACTCTTGAACACATTGGTGTAGGAAAAGATTTTATGAACAAAACCTCAGTTTCCCGTGAACTAGCACAAACAATCAACAAGTGAGATCTCTTCTTACTAAAAAGCTTCTGCACAGTGAGATAAACCACCAGCAGTGTGAAGAAACAACCCACAATGTTGGAAAAAATTTTCACTCACTATTCCTCAGACAAAGGTCTACTATTTAGAATATATAAAGAACTTAAAAAGATCAGACCTTCCAAATTTAAAGACCCAATCCAAAAATGGGCATCTGAAATGAATAAACATTTCTCAGACAAAGAAGTAGAAATAGCAAATAAACATGTGAAAAAATGTTCAACATCACTGGTCATTCGAGAGATGCAAATGAAAACAACACTGAGCTTTCACCTCACTGCAGAAAGAATGGCCACTGTCATGAAATCAACCAGTAACAAACGCTGGTGGAGCTGTGGGTAAAGAGGAATTCTGCTCCACTGTTGGTGAGAGTGTAGACTGGTGCAACCACTGTGGAAATCAGTATAGAGATACCTCAAAGAACTAGGGCTGGAGGTCCCATTTGACCCAGCTATTCCACTGCTGGGTATCTTCCCCAAAGAATTAAAAGAATTATACCACAGTGATATATGTGCTCCCATGTTCATAGCAGCACAGTTTGTAATGCTAAAACTTAGAAACAAACCAATTGCCCATCAACTGGAGACTGGATAAAGAAAATGTGGGTTTAAAAAAAATAAAATGGAGTACTACTCAGCCTTAAAAAATGAGAAATTAGAGACATTTATTGCTAAATTGATGCACATTTAGACCATGCTCTTAAGGGAAATAAATAGAACACAAGTGTAAATACTGCATAGTTTCTCTGGTGTGAGAAACTGAAAGTGGACATAAGGGCAAAAAGGTATAATAGATAATGTGAAATAGGAAGAAAAGGGGCAAAGGGGAAGGGGAAGTGGGAGGGGTAGGGGAAAGAAAAGAAGGGAATGGAATTAATATGAAAAAATGAAAAAATGGAAACAAAGTCTTTGTAAATAGGGAGGGATGGAGGGGTTGAAGGGAGGGCAGGGGAAGGGGGAAAAATAAGAACCAAGAGAGATTATGTAAAGGTGCAAATTTCCAATGATGAATGTCATTATATTGTATACCTAAAATGTACCAATGAAATTATATTAAAAAGGAAAGGATGTACAGCTTCCCTTCAATCTCAAGAATTCTCTGGATTTTAGGGTATTTTGGTTTTGGGGGAGCAGTGTTAATGTAGTTAAGGGTTCACATTTTGAAATTTTATTTCTTAAACATCTTGTTCTATCAACTAGTCTGAGTGGCTTTAACAAAGTAAACATGATTTACTCATAATGCAGCAAGGAAAATAAGAGCCCTAAAACTGTCAGTGTCCTCAGAGGGTAATAACTGGAAATTCATGCAAATACTCAGTACCTGATCAGGCATGGAGCAATTGTTCAGTAGATGTTAGTATCCTTGATTGATGATTATAAACAATCAAACACAACAGCTGGCTGTGGTTGGGAATGCCAGAATGGGTAGAGTTGCTTGTCTTAACCATATTCCTGAGATTTCCATCATCAGCTCTAAGGATGGTCACACATTCTTACCGCTCGCTAGGCAGGAGTGGATTCACATCCAGTGTGCGTGCAGGTCAGCCCAACAAGGGCTATGAAGACAAACCACTTTCTCTTTAATTTGCTTGATTTGGGGTACACACAGTCAAGGGGCAGCCAGTATCACGTTATGATGGGACTTGATGTAGAGACATAATCAAAGTAAGTCCATTTCTAAACACTACAGGGATCTAATTTTTCTTCTCTTTTGTTTCTTTTCTTTCCTTCATTCTTGCTTTTTTTCCTGGTAGATATCAGACAGTTAGAGCTCAGTAACAACTTTATAGTAGATAACACCTATGGCTGCACCCATTTCAAAATTGTCCTTCTTTGAGAGGAAATAATCCACCCATGATTGCAATAAAATATTTTATAAAAAAAGACTAATTAAAAATGATGTGGAAAGACCTTGACAATAAAAACTATAGTACTCCAAAAAAGGAGATGGAAGAGGATATCAGAGAATGCAAATATATCCCTTGTTCCTGGATAGGCAGAACCAATATAATAAAAATGGCCATACTTCCAGTCTTTTATATAGATTTAATGCAATCCCAATAAAAATACCGATAACATTTCTTATGGAATTGGAGAAATCAATCCTAAAATTCATATGGAACCAGGAGAGATCTAGAATAGCAAAAATAATTCTGGGCAACAAGGGCAAAGCAGAAGGCATCACAATCCCGGACTTTAAGTTATACCACAAAGCTACAGTGATAAAAACAGCATGGTATTGACAAAAAAAAATCCAGACTTGTGGATCAGTAGAACAGAACAGAAGATACAAAAACAAATCCAGGCACACTCAGCTGCACTATCTTTGACAAAGGGGCCAAATCCCTTTGCTGGAGGAAAGGCAGCCTCTTTAACAAATGGTGCTGGGAAAACTGGCTTTTCACATGGTTGAACTTAGACCCATACCTCTCACCAGGCACTGAACTGAAATCAAAATGGATCAAAGATCTAAATATCAGAACAGAAACACTTAATCTGCTGGAAGACAAAATAGGTAAAACTCTTGAGGTCATAGATGTAGGCAAACATGAAACAAAACCCTGGTTACACAAGAAATAATATCAAGAATCAACAAAAGGATAACACTAAATTAAAGTCTTTTGCACATCAAAGGAAACCACCAACAGAATGAAGAGACAACCCACAGAATGGGAAAAAATTTTCCAGCTGCTCCTTAGATAAAGGACTAATATCTAGAATATACAAAGAACTCAAAAAAATTTAGCCCCCCAAATTTAAACATGTAATAAAAAATGGATGTCTGAAATGAATAGACACTTCTCAGATGAAGAAATACAGTCAATAAATACATGAAAAAATGTTCATCATTACTGTCCTTTCGAGAAATGCAAATTAAAATTCCATCTCACCCCAGAAAGAATGGCTACCATTAAGAAATCAACCCATAACAAATGCTGGCAAGGCTGTGGAGAAAAGAAACCCTGTCCATTATTGGTGGTAGTGTAAACTGATAATACTACTATGGAAATCAGTTTAAAGATTCTTCCAAAAACTAAAAATAGAAATTGCATTTGGTCCAGCTATTCCCCTTTTAGGTATCTTCCCAAAAGAGTTAAAAGCATACCACAGTGAGGTATGCATATCCATGTTTATAACAGCAAAATCCATAAAAGCTAAATCATATATATCCATCAACAGATGAATGGATAAAGAAAACATGATATTTATACACAATGGAGTGCTAGACTGACACAGAGAAGGATACACTTGAATTATTTGTAGGAAAATGGATGTGCCTTGAGATCATAAGGTTAAGTGAAGTAAATCAGATACACAAGCTTAAAGACCACATGGTTTATCTTATATGAAGAACTTAATATATAAATAAAATACAAAAGAAAAGACAAAATAGAAAAAAGAGAAAAAGTGTTGTATTCTGTTTCTGCTGTTGGTTTCTGGTTTCACTTTAATACGGTATGAGAGCTCACTTTGAAGGATTTCCATTTCTTTGGATATGTGAAGGTCTTAACTGCTGCTGTGAACAAGGTCTATGTGGGAGAATGTTTCTCATGATTCTGAGAACACTGTGCACTCTGCAGTTATTGTATGCAGTGTAATACTTCACTTGAGGTAGGACGTTGCTGATTTTAACTCTTCCATTACAGAGTTTTCTACCTTTTTAAGCTGTCAATTACTAAGGGAGGTGTTTTGAAATTTTCAGTAATGTTTGTGGACCCATGATTTTCTCTTCAATTTCATGTATCTGCTTTATGTAGTTAGGTGCTTTGTTTAGTGAAATACATGTTAAGAACTATGAGTTATTGTTAGAGAACTGACTTTTATATCATCATATGATCATTGTAGCCCTTGTTTACTTTGAAGTATAAATCGAACAGTGTCAGATAAATATAGTTTCAGCATGTTTTATTGAATCAATGCTAGACTAATGTATCTGTTTGCATAATTTTCTATTTAATAAGCTTTTAAATTTTTATTTCAATGTATACAAGTTGGTGTTAATAAAGAAAAAATTTTGAAAACACTCTTCTATGAAAAAATAAAGCAAAATTTTATGACACATTAAAGAATAACATTAATTAATACACTGTGTACCATAATCTTAAAAGAATGGCCAAAATGTTAGAGTACAAGCCATAGACAAAAAAGACTCTTACAAAAAAGAAAAAAATAGATAATGCACAAAGCTTTCCTTTCAATGAACCTAGCAATATAAATGAAATGAAT